AAAACTCCCCGTACAATTTATCTGTTTATGGGAAAGTGTGGCAGGTCCCTAATAATATCAAGTGTCAGGCCTCTCTCTAGGAGGAGGGATATCTGGTCAGGGAGGGAAGAGGAGTTGGTAACGGCTGGGGACCTGTAGGAGGAGGTCATAGGGCAAGTGAGGATGTAGTGAGAGAGGGTGTGAGAGTCGGGTTGACCACAAAGTTTACAAACAGTGTGGCCAGGCTCAGGGTTCCCAATGTACTAGGCGTGGCGAAGTACAGTGGGGGTGGAAGTGAAATGGTGTGGTAGGACAGGTACAGTAGGGGTGGAGGGAGGCACATAGGCATTGACAATATTGAGGGACATACCTTTTAGCGTGATTGTGATGGCGTGTGCGTCGGTATGCCGGTGGGGTACGGGTAGCCGGGGGTGGTGGCCTCAGGTCCAATAGGTAGCTCAGGTGGAGACAGCACAGACACAGTAGCGGGCGCGGCTTGCGGTGGGTGGTGGACAGGTTGAGGCACCACGTGTCGTGAGGCTGAGGCAGGACTTCGCTCGGGGGCAGCAGAACACACCAGGGCAGGCCCGGTAGGCGCTACACCAGTAGTGAAGGCCGCCGGCGGTGGATTAGGGCGTGAGCAGGGGGGGGGGGCTCACAGGGGGACTACCAGCTTGTGTCAAACCAAAAGAAAGGAGTGACTGGGTGGCAACAGAGGGCAAGAGTAGGTGGGAGATGGTGGTACAGAGTGTAACGAAGAGTTTTTCAATACCCGGTTGGTGAATTCTTGGAAGAGGGATACGATCTGTGAGAGAGCGTGAGAGGCGGCTGTTGACCTTATAACCGCGATATTAGGGGATAAATTATGTGATGGGAATAATGTCTCCCAGAACCCTTTACTCCGCCTCGTTCCCTACCATAGGAAAAAAGCATGTTTAGAGTAGCTTATCTATATGTATGCGTACTGTTTTTTGCCAGTCTTTATGTCTTCAGAGTAACGAACCTTATTGCTGTTGGTCTGCCTAAACACCTCCTGACTCCCTTATTACGTGGGTCTTACACAAACCTCTAACGCCTTAACTCGGCGGACCTACAACACGATGTATTATCAGTTGTGGTTTTTCCTCAGTTTTCTGGCCAACTCTTTCATCACACACACACGACGAGTGATTGACGGGTAACGATTACTAAATAACTGGTCTCAGGGCACAGTGGTTTCTTATGATCAGTGAGTGATGTGTGCTTAAGCGTGACGAGGGCGACACACACACACACACACACACACACACTTTGTTCGTGACAGTGGCCAATTTTCGTTCTTATGTGTCGAGTAGCTTTACCAATGGTAGAATGTGAGTGAGTTTGTATCGTAATTTCTGTATTTTTTCGTTATAATATCGTTTAACCACAGCATGATCCGGTTTACCCTTCATAATGGCGTCCTGTTTCCTACCTGTCGACCGTTGCCTGATGGAATATATTTTGCACGAACCTACAAACTCTTTGCAGTTCCTCACCACTACACCCTCACCCCTCACCACACACCCTCACCCCTCACCACACACCCTCACCCCTCACCACACACCCTCACCCCTCACCACCCTCACCCCTCACCCTACACCCTCACCCCTCACCACACACCCCAACCTCCCACCCTACACCTGACACTCACCACTACACCCTGACACTCCACCACACACCTCACCTCACCCACACCCTCACCCCTCAACACACACACCCTCACCCTCACCTACACCTCACCCCTCACCCACACACCCTGGCCTCACCTACACCCCTCACCCCTCACCCACACACCCCTGACCCCTCAGCACACCCCCCACACACCCCTGACCCTCACACACACCTGGCCCCTCACACACCCTCACCCCTCACCACACACCCTCACCCCTCACCACACACCCCTGACCTCCACCACCACCCTGGCACTTTCACCACACACCTGACCCCTCACCACACCCCTCACCCCTCCCCACACCCTCACCCCTCCACCACACACCCCTCACCCCTCACCACACACCCTCACCCCTCACCTCTCGTCCATCTTACAAACTTTAACTCAACTATCCCACAACTTATCACCTCCCGCTTCCCCATCAACTGTGGTATGTGTCTCATTATAAACAAACTTCAATTTACTTTAATCTCATCTTAAAATTCTGAGAGTAAATACAGACTAACACCTGTAGTCATCATCTATAGCACCTGTAGTATTAGGGGAGGGAGGCGGGAGGGAGGCGAGGAGGGAGGCGAGGAGGGAGTGATGGATTAATCCCACTTCTCTCTCTTCTTACAGGTTTATCTCCCAAGGTCCCGAGCACGTTAATTGCCGTCTCTCTCTCTCTCTCCTCTCCTCTCTCTCTCTCTCTCTCTCTCTCTCTCTCCTCCTAAAATATTTATGTAAGAAGGATGGAGAATAAAGATGGAGAAGGAGGGAGTCAAATAAATGGGGTATGAAAAAATATATATATAAGAAACTATAGGATTTTAGGAAAGGAAGGAAGGAAGGAAGGAAGGAAGGAAGGAAGGAAGGAAGGAAGGAAAAAGAAAGATAAATTAAAGAAGCCAGCTTGGTAAACGAAGCGTATTAGATGGAAAGACAGAATACAAAGAGAAGATATAAATGGAAGATACGATAACATGACAGTGATGAAAGGTGGATTTGAGAGGTAAGACATTGGGACCGAGTGAGGTGGAACAAAACAGGAGGAGATCAAAGTGTAGTTGTCAGCACCGTCCATCATCACTGACAACTTCAGGTTAAGAGAACGTATTTATCAATGACTCAAAACTCCTTCCTATCAGAGTTAAATGTTATGTTTTATTTCATTGTCGATAACTGAGATAACTGGAAACACATGAAGATTAGTCTCCCAGGTTATTTCACTTTATGATTAACCATCGTAATCCTAACTTAACCTAACCAACGTAATGTAACCTAACCTTACCTAGCCTAACCTAACCTAACCTAACCTAACCTAACCTAACCTAACCAACGTAATGTAACCTAACCTTACCTAGCCTAACCTAACCTAACCTAACCTAACCTAACCTAACCTAACATATCTTAATGCTAACTTAACCTAATAAAACACACAGAGTTCAATACATGTTATGATCACGTTGGAAAACATACCATTAGCTACTAGGTGGGTCACGTCACCAACCGTCAAGTACCTTTTATGACAAGGCTGTATGTCATGTCATCTGATCAAGGGTATAACATAAATATTATCAGACATGAATGTTCGTGATGTTGGATACCTATGAATTTGAAGGCATTACTCCCATAGGTATAGTCATGGGTAAAGACAAAGACCAGTCTTCCTATTACCTGCAAGACTTACTAGAGAAAATACCAGCAGTTTAAGTCACGCTACAGAACAATAGAAAAAGATTACGTGTCGCACTGTCCTTGATAACTGGCTTAGATGATTCACTATATTAGCACAGATTATAAGTTACGTGTCTTTAAACGGTGTAAAAGGATCGTCGGTACTGTTGATGGCTCCTGGATGTAGAGAGTTCGTGTACTACTATATCACCTTAGGCTAGACGAAGCTCAAAGCAAATATGAACGAAGACTTATGGGATTATAATACTCCAGCCTTCATTTACTGATAAGAGTGGTGTGTTTTCTTTATGTTTCAGTCTCACATAATAATTAAAAGATTAAAATTGTGCATGAGAAGTGACAGCATCATGGACCATAAACAATATCTCATGCGGCGACCAAACATTTATCTAGGTAGGAAGATAAATATTCAAATACGGTATAAGACACAGTTCCACAGAGGCTATGTGGTATGAGGTTCATTTCACATCCCCCCCCCTCCCCCCAAACACACACATACACGTTCACATCACACACACACACACACACACACACGTTCACATCCCACACATACACACACGTTCACATCCCACACCCACACCAGCCACGGTAAGATATATATTGTAATCTTTATAATACAAATTTAACAGCATAAAAGCACAGGTGTCTGCCATGTGATGCTGTGTGTGGCAGTGAAGTGTGAAAAACCAGGTGACACTCTCTTACCTAATAGTAACAAGGTGTGTGTGTGTGTTGTCAGTGTTCATTTAGGCTACAGCTGTTCACACACACCATCCTGTTGCAGTCTTTATCCTACATTACATCCTTCTCCTCCTCCCTGTTAACACTGTCTTCCACCTCCCTGTTATTCCCTCTTTATTACATCCTCCCTATTACACACTATTATCTTCATCCTTCTTATTACACCATTTTCAAGACGCTACACTTTTCCCTGTAATGTAACCGCTGTATCGTTACTGAGAGAGAGAGAGAGAGAGAGAGAGAGAGAGAGAGAGAGGATATAAACAACCTCCCAGCGTAATCATGAAATGTAGCGTGGAAAAATCTTGACAGTAATCACAAAATATGGGTCATGAGCCGCGTGGGGCAGGAGTCATGAGGTCACTCTGGCTTGATGCTCTGTTTTCCGTGTGTGTGTGTGTGTGTGTGTGTGTGTGTGTGTGTGTTTACATTATAATTTCATCATCCCTAAAATCATTTCCTCCATCATTCATTATTTATCCCAGGTGTTTCTTTGTGTATGGGAATGAAAAATAGATTAGATCATTATTCATTTTATTCATTTAAAGTATATCGTATAAAATAACCTATTATCATTTGTGTATCTTATCAAAACAACTACTGTATATAGAACTCAAGTTACCTTCCCTCACCCTCCCTCCCTCACCTCCTCTCAAACGCTCATTGGTCGACACATGACCAAGGGACGGAGGATAATGTTAAGCCACAAACATTCCTTACTCTACACTGTGAACTTAACCCATGTTGTCTTTTGTCATTGTGATGTCATTCGTGTAAACATTCGAGTCAGCAATATTATCTTCTTATGTGAGTGAGTTGTGTTTCAAGGCTTATATAAACTATTAAATGAATTGTATACTTTGGTAAATGAAGAGACATTGAGACATTTCTTTGTTATATATTACAGAACAACAACCGCATTCGACTGCCTGTGTGCTGGGGTGAGAGTGTTCCGCCTCTCACCAACCTCCACGGCAGACTGACTCAACGAGGCTTTGACGGGAGGAACACTACGACTCACCAAACTCCATCATCAGACTGAGCAGACTTCTCAACCAACTTCTTAGCCCCCCCCCACCCCCACCCCCCTCCCACACTCACGCCCACTCAGTATAACGTCACGTGCCCACTCCGGACATCAACTGAAGCCAGGACTATCTTGTAACCCTCTCCGTCCTGAGGTCATCAAACAGATTATTACACATCATTGGTAATCTCTTTTACCTTCCTATTGATGAATTAAGATACCTAACCCAACCCAACCCAACCCAACCCAACCTAACCTAACCCAACCCCCCCAAAATATCCTTAAGTCATACGGGCCAACGGGCTGGAAGTAATGTTAGAGACGAAAGATTGTATTTTTTTAGTGTTTTTTTTTGTCCCCCAAGTCATGTTTCCTTTACATAACAGATGAGGAGGTATTTCAATTTCCACCTTTATTCAAACATCTGTACTAAAACTCACTCGTCCTGAAAAATTATGGCGGTGGATGAGAGACACTGAAACGCCACTGGCCAATCTGGGGGTGAAAGAGACCACTGGATTGAACATGTGACGTGGTTATGTAAGATGATATAATACTGACGTGGTTGTAAGGTGATATAATACTGACGTGGTTATGTAAGGTGATATAATACTGACGTGGTTATGGAAGATGATATAATACTGACGTGGTTATGTAAGATGATATAATACTGACGTGGTTATGTAAGGTGATATAATACTGACGTGATTATGTAAGGTGATATAATACTGACGTGGTTATGTAAGGTGATATAATACTGACGTGGTTATGTAAGGTGATATAATACTGACGTGGTTATGTAAGGTGATATAATACTGACGTGGTTATGTAAGGTGATTTTAAACTACATAAAAAATTCGTAATATATATACCTGGTAATGTACAGAATTTGGAGGTAGTTGAGGTAATTTTGTTATTGTAGTGATAATTAATCCACCTTTTGGAGAGGAGCGTCACCGTCTCCTCCTGTCTCCGTCCTCCGTCACCGTCTCCTCCTGCGTCACCGTCTCCGTCCTCCACCTCTACAGCATCATGATATATATTACACATTACCATGATGACTACTTTAGTGTTGCTCTGGGGGGGAGATGAATGATGCTGTCATCTACATTTCATGCAAGTATTATGATTTTTGTTTCCCGTTCTGACTATGCAACCTAGATTTGATTCGGTTATATATGTATATTACAAAAGAACAAACGAGGAACTGAAGTGTGAGAGGATAAATGAAAGAGAGAGAGAGAGAGAGAGAGAGAGAGAGAGAATGAATGAATAAAAACACATACGAAAATATGTTAATTTCTGCTCGACACATCAAAATTATAGTATTTTACAGACGCTTACTCCCAAAAAAATATTTGAAACAACAATGAAAATAAACGGAAAAAAAATAATCCCGAATTAATCTGTGAAAGTTGAAGTCTTAACGCCAATAAGACCATTTTTTTCGAACAGGTACAATAAGGCGAGTCATTATGTTACTGGGATGTGATCGAGCAAGTCCATATCTCTCTCTTACAAATCACATAAACACTGATACAATAACTTCTACTCGTTACTACACGCACTACATTAACATTTCCTCCGCAACACTAACTACTGCTTATAAAATCAACATACCAGCATCATATGGAGCTATTCTGAGCCTTGAGTCCGCTGGGTCAATACTGCTGGTGGTGTTGTCTTGAGGAGGTGATGGTACGTGTTGGTCTCCCTCAGTGTAACATATTAGTCCTCACACCTGGGACGTGATGCGTGGTCACGTCTCTGTCTGGGGATAAAGACATCTTGTGTGTGCATAGTGAGTAGATCCTGTGTGTGTTTGGTTATGGTGGTGGGGGAGACGTGTGTGTGTGTGTGTGTGTGTGTGTGTGTCTGTGTGTTTGTGTCTGTGTGTCCGTCTGTGTGTGTGTGTGTGTGTGTGTGTCTGTGTGTCCGTCTGTGTGTGTGTGTGTGTGTGTCCGTCCTTAATTTTGCCAGACATAAAATGAAAGGGAAATATAATGCCTGTTTTATGTGCCATTAAAAAAAGTATATATCCTAAAATGATAATTGCTTGCCAAAATATTAGTCTCGGTGGACAGTGTTTTATATCCAGAGAAAAGTGATGGATGATAATTATAAGACCTATATTATTATGAGTCCAGCTGTAGCTATTGTTATACTCCCATAAAAATGTATTACTGATTAGGAATTAAAAAAAGTTTGATAGCTCCAAATATTTACGCATCCACACACACACACACACACACACACACACACACACACACACACACACACACACACACACACACACACACACACACACACACACACGCGTCAACATTTACCTCTTCATTCACCTCCCACAAAACAAGGATCTATTAATATTCTGTACTTTCCATCTAAATTCTCCTTTACATAGTACCAGCACCGTTAGAAGCCTTTACCTTCACCACACACACAGTGCCAACACGAGGAGATTAGTGGAGCAGTTGTGGGATTGTGGAGCATGAAGTGTGTGTGTCGTCTGTCTCCTACGCTGCTGTATCTGTCTACCTGTCTCTCACCTGTCTCTTCGGCTGTCTCTCACCTGTTTACTTGCCTGTCTCTCCCCTATCTCCTCGGCTGTCTTTCACCTGTCTGGTACGCTGTCTCTCCCAATTTAACTTGTCTGTTCTCGTTTGTATTTCACCTGTGTTTATTTTCATGTATTTTCAAGTTTTTCTTCTTAATTCACCTTCGAAGGATATTTTTCCAGCTATTAAAATCAACCTCCACCTATTCTGACTTGACTGATTTATATTTGTCGCTCTTGAGGGTTTTTTCTGTAAGTTCGGGTTAATGACTAATTCTTAAATAAGTTTATAACCTCTCTTAACTAAGGAATTATTACGTCACATGTGTTAAAGAGTCGCACAGGAGTAAAATAAAAGGAAAATTTGAGATTAATTGTAAATAATAACAAAAGTGGTAAATAATTGTAAAAAAAATAATTAAATCACTAAAGTAAACGTTTCAATGCAGAGGTCCTTATTTTCGGATCATAAACAAGATGTGTAATGGAAACCTGAAATAAATCATGGATGATACGCGTTTAACGAGCGTCATTTCATGGTCATTAACCTGTAGTAACGACCTTCTAGTTATAAAAGTCACACTAGAGGAGATATTAATTCTAGTCTGATTCAATGAATAATTATTACGTTATTGTGTCTGACATTCACACACCTGGCTGTCAGTCTCACAGCTGCCTCCTCTTCCTCTTTCTCCTCCTCCACCTTCTCTTCCACCTTTTCTTCCTCCACCTCCTACTCCTCCACAAGACCACGAGAATGAATGACCACACGGAATGAGACCTCGAAACAGTGAATTAAAATTTTGTATTGAAAATCATCTGAGGATTTATTTATATCGATTCTCTTATTAGCTTAAATATTTTAGGTTATATTTTCTGTTGTTTGTTTCAGGAATTCTTTTATTTTTTACCGAGACCGTAAACTGATCAGTCTTATAAGGATTCATGTAAATAAGATTACGGCAGGTACGGTGCAAATAACTATACTCAGATAATACGTCAGTATTTTTGTAACTGCTTGAATATGTTGATGTTAGATAATGAATACATTATTTTTTCTTTGTGACAAATTGTAAAATTTGAATATTACCCATAGTTAATGCCGTGATGTTTGGCGTTTTATAAATAACTTTTATGTTTAAACACAATTTATTATTATCATATTGTTTTATCAAATTTTAGAACATTGCTCAGATTCTTACTCAATTATCTACTTCAAACATAAGAAGATGATCAAAGGCGGCGGCACACTGGGCACTTTCCTCCAAACTTGTTTGGCAAACACGGCCAGCAAAACAAAGAGACGTTTTGCGTCACACTGTGATATTTTATTGGCGCGTCTGCCCAACGCAAAGAAAATAACAACAAAGCGTCTAGACGATCCCGTTACTACAGTTGAGGCCTTGCAGGATTGTGCTATGGTTCTTCAATTGCTGAACCAAGTGAAGTGTCTGCTAAAGCTGAAGAAAAGGCAATGGATGCGTCGTGAGGTTTCTTTAAAGGTGGCGGCGGTTGGCTGGTCAAAGAAGATCCTGAATAATGATTTAATAATACTAAAGAAGTCTTAAGTAACGAACAAATAGAAATATGTCACCATTTATGTGTTATATTTTAAATATAACACTTTTCTCGCAACATCATGAATCCTGCTGCCGCCACCTTAACGTGTCTTGAAAATACTTATTTTCCAATACACTGAAAATTGTAACGCTTCACGAACGACTACAACTGCTAATTACAGTCAGTCACAAAAGTGAGAGTGTGGCAGCAACATCGCCGGGGATTAAGACTATTTCTTAAACTTAAACATTTGTCTGGGACACCTTGTACAGTATATGGTGAGGGAAGCGAGAAGAAAATATCAATAAGAGTGACGTGTTAGTTTACAAGTATGTTGAACAATGAAGAGCTTTAAATTAGTAGAGAGGCAGATTAGCTTAAGTGTAATCACCGGTGAGACGAAATAAACTGCTGGTTGGCCATATTTGGTGCGCGGACTTGTCATCCCACCCGGCGGCTTTATGACGTAACATCGCCTTGTCTACTACAGCAGGTAAGGTCGTCTTGTGTTATATTAAGTGGCAGATGATCTTTGATTCAGTCATATTGGCTTCTTTAACCCCTTCACTACGGGCCGCTAGTTTTAGTAGTTTATTTGACTAACACCAGATGATTGTATTCAACAGAGTAAGGACCCTGTTAACAAGTACTTAGGTGACCATCTCCCTTAAAAGCTGTTGTTTATTCGTGTCTTATGAGCAGGTTAGAGTTAATATATCACAGGTCATTATCTCCCCATGAATAAATTACCCCCCATTAAAAATAATACCTAGAGAGGACAGATAAATGAGAAGTGACGAATGATGGTGGTGGTGGAGGCTGTGACGTGGTTGAAGTGTGTTGGAAAATGGAGGTGATTGTGAGGGAACTGCGACCAGGATGGCGATGATTTGAGGACGAGGAGGAAGAGGAACTTGAGCTCCCTCTTTCATTACTCACTCCAGTAATCCATTATCTCTGTGGTTCCGTCCAATCTTGTGTTTGTCGAGCCAACATTTGAACATCAGTCCCCAGATCCATTTTCCTATCCTCTTATTAAACTTTTCCTTCGTGTTAAAGAATCTTTTTCCGGAACTTGTGTCGGTAAATGGGGAGGAGACGGTTAGTGCCAGAAGGGTTTATGGAATTGCGGAAAATTTACAGGGGATGTTTGGATGATGGTAACAAAATCGAAACGACAATGTACAGAACTTATTAGAGCCTAACCTCATCTAACCTACCTCACCTAACTTTACTTTACCCACTGAATACGACAACTTAACCCCCTGAATACGACAATTTAACCCCTTGAATATAACTTAACTCCTTGAGCATGATAACTTAACCCCATAACCAGGGTAAGTAAGTGTGAGACTCCAGTAAGAGAAAGGAAAAGGAAAAGCTACGATAAGGCCAGGAAGGTTTATACGATAGAATGACAACAGACGCCAAGACACGTGAAGGGAGGGAGAGGTTGTGAACGACGGGTCATTAGCGTCTGGGGAGGGGATACCAGAGGAGGGAAGGCTGACAGGAGTGATATATCTCTCTTAATTTAGACCTCTTGATAATTAGTGTATTTACTAATCTGAAATACACAGTTGAAGACCTTTGTTGTTGAAGTGGATATTAACGTGATATAATGAGTGATGATGTGAGTTGAGGAGTCCCCACCTGACCTCTTCTAGGGGTGTATACATAGTGGTCTTGACTATAAAGAACCTGGATATTGAAGCAACTTGATAATCACACCAGCATAACCTGTCCTACGTGTTCCTGTCCTTCGTCCTACAGATAATAGACTCAACTGGCATTTTTCATAGGATTCCTGAACTCTTGAAAATCCTTCATAATAATTCCCGTTTTAATTATAAATTCACGCGTGTATTAATTTTCCTATTGGAGTCTTTGTGAATTACTGGTATTATGGCATGACTGTTAATCGTTTCGTGGCAGTAGTCAGCGATGTGAAGGCTTTTGAATAGATTATTTAACTGAGAATCAAAGGCAATTCTAAAATCCTTAATCTACCCACAAACCACGGCCGACTAGTGACCACACACGCAAAATGAAACACATTCTTTTAGGGAGTCAGATAAACATCGGTGTTATAAAGACAATTTTATCGTGTTGAAAATCATAAATCACTTCCCAGATACAGATTTATGTAAGGTCATGAGGGAAGGTAGCGTGACCTGACTTTTTCTGTTGCATATGTTGACTGACCTAGAAGCGGCCAGACGTCATTATAAGGTCATAGCCTCACAAATACAATGATTCTCTTTGAAAAAAAAACCTTAAGAAATAGTGATAGTGTGTCTCGTGTCGTGGGCCAGGAGTCAGTGGTGGTTTTGAGAGGATGTCTAGTTAGTTTATATACCATTAGTGAGGACAGACAGAGGAGTGGCGCCTGACTGTCCCTGGGGAGTATGACGTCAGAGAGGCAGTGGTGGGCAGGTCACCTAATTTACTAGTTATCCAAAACACACAACGAGGTCAAACGAAGAAACTGAAAGAGGAATAAAGAAATAAACACAATTTTTACTATTTTTTTTAATACGTAGAATAATAAAACGATCCATTCATATAGTCAAACAGGGATACATTTATAAGCCTCACTACGTCATATAGACCCGGTCCATATATATGGGTTTTAAAAAATCACTATTTGTGTTAAATTTTTGTCCTGGTATTAAAATGTTTTATTTGACTATGAATTGTTTTAATTAATAGAGGAACTAAATAAGCATAGGATTCGTTTTTC